AGCTGCACAAAAAACAAATAATTTGATTGTTGACCTATTGCCCAACGTCCCACCAAATTTCAATGTCAATAAGTTTTTGGATTATCCTGCTAACTAAAACTCAGACAAACCACCAAGACTAAAAGCACCTCATTATTGGAACTTATTTATAACAGCACCAAATAAAGGTTATGCTGCCTGACATGTCACAAACAGATGTATGAGCACTTGTCCTTAATAGTGGTGGAAGAAGTTTACATATCCTTTACTTAAGTTAAACTAGAAATACCCTGAAAAAGAAAAATACTATTACATCACTATTACATTAAGTAAAAGTGCAACATTCAAAAACCTTTCATAAAAGCACAAAATTATTAGCAGTAAAAAAGTAAAGGTTTTCATTATTCAGAATGCCCCTTTCAAAAAGTTACCTGACTTTTCAAAAACTCATGGTCCATCCACACGTGTTTTTACGGAAAGCGGAAGCATGTACAAAATTTGCTTGATAGACATATCCCTCTCCCCCCTAGCTGCACCCATCAAGGCGGGACGACTTACACTTTAGTCATTCTGATAGAGTTGACATGTCGGAGCAGGAAAAGTGCAGGTGTATTTAACAACAGTAATGCTAGAGAGTTGGTCAACTGGGAACTGAGCCATCGTTAATGTTGTTAATTACACCTGTGCTTATCCTGCTGTTATTGTTTTAGTGGTTTGAGGTGGATGTAATTTCAGCTGCTTAATGTGATGTTAGCACTGTAATCTCAAAGTAACCAGTGCAGCTGTCAGATAAATGTAGTGGAGTAACAAGTACACAATTTCACTCTGAGTTGTAGTAATATAGAATTATGTGGTAATACAGTACTTGAGGGAATGTACTTAGTCACTTTCCACCAGTGTACTGCTGTGCTGGTAGCTTTTCAGAGGAGAAAAATTCAGCAGTCAAAGCCACCTGTAACACTGGGAACATTTAGCTGACGCACCTATCCAGAGCTGTTAATTGTGCAAAACAAAAGTACCAAGTGTGCCACTGTGAGGCAGGTATTGTTTTGATAGAAGAGCAGGAGTAAGCACACCTCATGCCGAGGCAAGACACAGCGCAACCCGGCTGGAAGTTTGTCTATGTGACTGTAGATTTAGTAGCTGTTCAGGCATCTCGCATTAATGACATCACTGATGTGTGACTCAACCACTGTTTCTGCTTAGCTCGTCTACTTCCTCCTTTTTGTTCCCTGGTCTGGTACATTGCCAGTGTGGTTTAGCAAACTGGGCCCACAATAGCAGAAGCATGTGTACTGTGTGTTGGTAGTAGGCTATTGTTGTTGTCATAAGCATTAAACCCCCAAGGTAAAAAAAAAACAAAGTTTAGGTCAAACATGTAGATTGTAAAAATAGGCTTTAGAAATAGAATTGCAGCAAGTAAAAGAAAGTTATTTCAAACAACTCCTGGAACAAACTGTTACTACACCCTCTGACGCATTATTACTGCAAGAGGTAGTACTGTATATTATTATCAGAGTGGTGAGAAAAAGTCTAAAAGTAACAAAGGAAGACCTACTGGTTGGTCAGGGGTTCATCATACAACAAGATAATGACCCAAAACATTAGAAGGAAAGAACTAGACTGTGGCTTCACATGATGGAAGACCAGCACAGTATCCAAACTTAAACCTTATCGAGCTGGTTTGGGATGAGCTGGACAAAATGTGAAAGCAAAGATAACTGCGAGTGCAACACATTTGTGGGAACGTCTGCAACAGTGTTGGGAAGAATTTACTGAAAAATGTTTCTTTTCCATTGTAGAAAGAACACTGTGTGCTTAGCTGCTGAATCGGTCCAAAATTTAGATGGCTTTCAGTACAAGGATTAACAAATTATTACATTATTTATTATAATTAACTCAAAATGCCAGTGGTTCACGCAATCATGGGACAACATTTTTTTTTAGTCTGTGTGTTACTGGAGCTTTAGTTAGTTTGAGTTTTCTCTGTATATCAGCATTTAGACACAGTGTTGATGTTGCAACTGTAGCCAATTATGAGCTACAAATCAACAGAACACATTGTCCTTGCTGTGTATAAGAAAGATCACCAAGCGCAAATGTGTTTGTAACAAAACACAGTACAGGTCATCAGTGCTTGTCTAGCCAGCAGACCAGAATATGTCTCTATGAGTATTTACAAATCAAAAGGAACTTGTGGTGCAGGTTTTTACTGTGTTACTGATGCTATTATTTTGAATGTCTGTGGAGATGATAACCTACATGTTAGATATCACCTTTTTAAGTTTTCATAGTATCATTATTTCTGCTTTACTTTTTAGTGGCTGTTGACCTTTTGTTCAGAGCCTGTTTATCCAATCTGTCATAGCCTCTTTTTTTATTCTTTAAGCACTCTTAAACTTCTGTCTGTCTGCTTGTCTGTGTTTAAAATTGGCAGGAGCAATGTGTCAGACTGCTTTAATGGTCATGGAAATCCTCTGTTAGTCATGGAAAGAGTGGTAATAGAAAAGGATTTTTATGTGAGTGAGAGCCCTGAGTTACAGTTCATTTGCTCTTGCCTATCCTCATTCAACCCTCAATAGCCACTTATCAGCAGATTTTGCTTAATCATTTACAAATTAACAGAATATATGTAATAACAGGGATTGGGCGTTATCTCACACAGCAATTATTGCACTGTGCGTGTGTGTGTGTGCGTGTGTGTGTGTGTGTGTGTGTGTGTGTGTGTGTGTGTGAGTGTGTGAGTGAGAGAGAGAGAGAGAGAGAGAATAATGAACCATCCAATCTTTACGTAAATATTTAGGAATCCAGACAAGAACAATAAAGCTTTTTCTGCTGTTTCCAGTGCTTCTTTCTCACACAGGCTTACATCTGTGAATTGTGGAAATTTGTTTTTATATAGACTATATTCACAGCCAAGTAATACAACATCAGCATAATACGTGACCTTTGTAATTATTGGGGTTTCCTGAATCAAGTTTATGAATGTCAGTGAGTGTGTTTAGTGAAAGTTTTCAACTTGGCATGTTCCATTTTTTTAACGAGCTGCTATAGTTTGACTTTTGGATCCATTTGGGATTTCAGCCAGAGACACTGTGTTTGTAGGGACAGAGAGACAGAGCTATTGTGTACAATACATAAATTACATGTATTCTAGGATTACAGAGGCCTTTCCAAAAAAATAAAATGCAAGTGGTAGTATCTCATTGCATATGGTAATTTAAATACAATATTATAAAAATGTGTGTCATATTTTAGAAATATGGCCATTTCTATGTGAAATATGACTTCTACCCTTCTCTCAAGATTTGGTTACTTATAAATTTTTTAAAGCTTATGATTTAATATTGATATTTATGAATTCATTCATTGAGTTAATGGTTAATATTTTTATATTGGGTCAAACAATGGGTCAAATAACTACCTAAAATGTGAAAGTGGATCCATGATCAATTATCAAATGACTGCATTTCCCCTGAACAGTTTTTTTTTTTTTTTATCGTCTTTTAGCTCATTGTTTTTGGCTTTTATGGCTGCAGTGAGCAGCTGTTTTTAGCAGCAGACGGATGAAATTAGCAACTAGCTGGTGAACATATGGGAAGTATTTAGCTATTTAAGTGCCAGAAATTTCCCTCAACAGATGATGTAGACAAAACAAAGCTAGAAGGAGAGTGAATATTGAACTTACATTCCCCAGGCTGCCAGAAACACAACTCACATGAATGCTAATATACTGTAGCTCCATGTCTGATAGATATGTAAATATGCGTCTGTTCACAAACATGTTAAGCACAGCAACTTAATAAGGTGAATAAGGTGTCAGTGTCTATAGCGAAGTGGCAAAAAGGATAGATTATTGCTGCTTTAAGATTTAGGTAAAGGACGTTGCCTGTCGAGCAGGCGCAGACGGGCTTTGCAGTAAACAGCTGCTGCGAAGTCTGGCCTCCGAATGGGACCTCTTTCGGGTGAACAAGTCAACAGCACTTTTTGCCTTTACATTTGAATTGGCACTTTAAATCAATGTAATATTGCCAGTTTCAATTTCTTTCATCAGTGTTTTTATGATCGCTCTGCAAAGTTAGTGTATAATGTGTGTTTTTGTTGGAGCATTGGCGTGAATCTGCTCTCCTTTTCTTTAGTCAGTGGTATTTTGAGTCTCTGTCACAATGTGTTTGTGGCTGTGTGCCTACCCCTGTTTTTGTCTCGAAGTAAACAGTGGCATGCTGAGAGCATTTAGCTTGCACACAAAAATCTAAAATACACACAATATAAACATATCAAGATGGAAATACTGGTAAATATCCAGTTTTAGGTTTTTATTTTTTTAACACAGAAAAAATGGGTAAGCAAAGTTTATAGGGAGATAGTGAAGAGGTAAAAGGGAAAGGAAGGAATCAAATAAAGGGAAAGTGAATACAAAATCTGCTTTGAGACAAAAGGTCCAAATTTGGCTTCTTTTCAATGCCGGAAGACATCACAAGGGATGCTGTATTCCAGGGAACCATAACACACATTACACCATATGGCAGGTTAGATCATGGTGAGGTGTGGTATCTACTTTGATAAATGGAAAAATTGTGTTCCATGCAGTATTTCTTTAGATTTTATTTCAGTGTTTATCCACTATTGCTACTCTATGCAGTCACATGTTTCTGGACATGTGCCCTCAGTGCTGGGGCAGAAAGGAAGAGGGCCGTTAATGTCTGTTACCTAAAGAGACAGACCTGAAGAGATACCTAACTGTCATATGCAGCTCTTAGGTGTATGTGATCGCATTAGAGAGTCTTACTACTACAACTACAACAGAGGCGGTTTTGTGTACTTGTGTACTGGCAGGTGTTTATATGTGTGACTGTCGTCAAGGTTATACTCAGATGGATGTGATCATATTCACAGACTCTCAACACCCAGTTTTCTTCCTCAGTCCCTATCTGTTAGTTTAGTATAACTGTAAGTTGGCCAGCTAAAATGTTTCTTCATAGTTGTTACAAGTTCTTATCTTTTTCTCACTGTCTCTCCAGGTCCCTGAGATCATCAGTACGTTGAGGCAGGCTGGCAAGAGCTCTGCACGCAACAATGATATCACCACCATTTCCAACAAAACTTCCACCGGAGGCAGTGACCCCTCTGAACCATGTTTTTCTTATCTCTCCGCAACGACAACTTCAGCGGCCCCCATCATTGCTGTGTCTCCGACAGCTTTTGCCAAAAAGTTTGAGGTGCTGTTTTGCGGCCGCGTGAGTGTTGCTCACAAGAAAGCCCCACCCGCCCTCATTGATGAGTGCATCGAGAAGTTTAGCCAGTTACATGGCTCAGGGACGACCGATAAAGGAGGAAATGTTGGGGGATTAGTGGGTGGGCTGAGGAGGGCATTAACCTTCCAATCCAATGGACTGGGAAGTGGTGCTGTTGGTAATGGTTCTGCAGGGAGCCCCACCACCGGGAAGCGCCCTGTCCTGTTCAAGCGAGACCCCAGCTTTCCCTGCCTGCAGGCCCTGGATGAGAACGGACTCTCACCTGAGATTTCTCACACCAACACTACTGATGCACTTGCCCGCTCTGCTGAAGTACAGCCCACCAGCCTGCGGGAGAACAGGACCATGCTGTTTACGGTAACTCTCAGAAATCTGCTCTTTAAACTCTGTGCTGACGTGTGAGTTACAACGTGACTGAGTGAGCGGTGCAGCAGTCTCATTTGTGCATGGCAGTCCTGATAAGCCTGGTCCAACTGTAAAATGACATCAGTCTCTTTGAAGGTATTTTATATGTTGCATTGAGTTAAGTGATGCCTTTGTCACTATGAAGAATAAACAGAAAATGCTGTGGTTGATTTTGGAACCAAGGCTGCTGTAAATGTAGTTTGCTAATAGACACTTTAACCATCATTCTGATGAGAACAGTTATTTCTTGGATTCTTAACAGATTAAGATGATACCGTGATAGTTAGTTAGTTAGTTAGTTAGTTAGTTAGTTAGTTAGTTAGTTAGTTAGTTAGTTAGTTAGTTAGTTAGTTGGTTGGTTTATTTACTTAAGTATCACAATACAGTTATGTAAATAACTTTACATAATCAAATAGAAACATGAGGTCCAATATTCCTCATACAATAAAGTTCTGTCAACACATCAATAAAATTAAATTACCCAGTCCACTACTGGTTAAAACCAGAATCACATCATCTTTTCACAGTTTAGTTATCACCCACCATAGAAAAATTTGAACAAAAGCAATATTGCAAAGCACACTGCTTTTCAGATGAAAAGTCTTTCGTCCAGCTCACACAATGGTTTTCTCTGACGTCTTTGTTGAGAATAAGAAGAGTACTTTATAGTGTAGTAAAGTGCAATTTTGGACTTCCTAAATGACAAGGCCTAGAACACAGTCACTCGCAAAGGACAGAGAGGGAGAGAACAACGAGAAAAATATAAATCCCCTAATGACTCAGCAAGATTGAATGCTGAGTGCTGCTCAAAATGAGCCTGGTCAAACTCCCCTAATTGACCTTTATTTGACCTCTACTGACCTCCTGCCAACAGGAGTTTTCCTGTTTGTCCTTCAGACAGGAAATGTTGACCGCTGGCACAGGAACCACCAGTGCCTGTTGCTGTCTTCCTCAGCAGATACAGCAGACATACTTTTGACATTGATGATACATCCTACTGCTGCCATGGATAGCAGTCAAAATTACGTCATCCCGGTTGCATCATCCTCTCATTTTTTTCTCCTTAGTCTTGAAGAGACAAATGAAACCCCCCTTTTCTTCTAGAAAGAGTCTGATTATGTGATTCATATTTGATACAGAAGGACAGTGCAGGAGAATAGCTGTGCTCAGAGTTTGACTTGTGATTTGACAGGCTTGTTTATAATGCACCACTGACTCCCTTCTTGATGTCTAGGCCTGATGGTGACTCATATCCTAATGATGTTGAGAACAGGAATATCCCCTAAAGATGAATTGTCCAAAAATGCCCTGGTACTTTTTGAACATAAATAAATAGACAAATAACTGCCTCATTTGACACATTTGACTGTTAAAAAAATATTATTTTTAGCTTTTCATTTATATCATTCATCAATCACTGATCAAGGTTTGTAGTTGCAGCTCAGTTCAATGTGAGAAACTGGGACTACCTTGTGCTGTGAGGTTCATTGTTGGTGTCAAAACCACATAAAAAAAACTCACCTCACACACAACCTATGAAAACATATCCATATACAGAGTCTAACTGTATTTCCTTTGTCTTTTAGGTTGGCAGGTCTCAGATCTTCTTGGTTAGTCCAGACACTAAGAAGGTTGCCATAGAGAAGAGTTTCAGAGAAATCTCCTTCTGCTCACAGGTATAAAGCACTGGAATTGTACATACTGTTTAAACTGTCTATATATGTCTGTTTGTGATTTTTAAACTATCATTCTTGTTTTTCAAGGGTATTCGTCACGTGGATCATTTCGGCTTCATCTGCAGAGAAACGGTGGAAGGAGGGAGCTGCCACTTTGTTTGCTATGTCTTCCAGTGTACAGACGAATCACTGGTGAGATGGTGTCATGTGCATTGTCATCTCCACTCATAGTTTTTTAAAGTAACAATTGGCAAGGCACAAATCCTAATAGGCATATATTCATTTTTAATACACTTATATACACCTAGAAAAGACTCTTGTCTAACTGTTTGTATGAATATAATTCTCAGTGGAGTTATGTGTATTTCTCGTTGCCAATTCTCATACATTTCCCTATTAGTGCTTCCCACTCAGTTTTAGTATTTAATCAGCCCACTCAGTTTAGTTTAACACTTCACAAGTTTGCTTTGGATTTAAATTCAAGTGCCACACTGCATGAAGCTGGCATTTGTCACCAATGTTGTTTTTTATTGGTCGAGAATAAATGCTGCTCTAATTCTATAGACTTATGACTCAATGCATCTGTGTGCCACTGAGTCATCGTGTGCCTTTGTCGACACAAGCCAAATGGACTGTCAGGTTGATGAAAAGCGTTGGTCATTAGATGGATGTACTGTACTGTATAGATGGCAGCTACTGTTGCAGTGGGACTAGTTCGTATATTATTTTATATATAGTCACTGAACCTGATATTGCTGCCAGAGAAAACAACCTGTGGGGAAACACTGCATATCTTTCTCTTTGTTAAATGTATTTCTTTATTGTGATACATTTTTACTTCTACCAGTTTTATACCACATACAACTTCTCACAGATTTCCCACATATATTAAAATTTATCTTGAATTAGGAAATGAGAGTTCTAGGCATAGTAACAGAACGGATCCTAAATATTTAAAGCCTTTCATTATTTAAAATCTTATTTGGTGGTGTGGGGTGAATTTGTTCTAATAATTGTTCTACAGTGTAATACAGCTTTGAAAGAAGCCAATGTAAATAAATACAGGTAGAAGCAAACTGATGAATGCACTTAAAAATTATTGAAGGTTGCATGACGGAAGAACAGATGAAAGTGCTGTTATTTGCTCTTGCAGGTGGACGAGATCATGCTGACTTTGAAGCAGGCGTTCTCTGTGGCAGCCCTGCAGCAGAATGCAAAGACCCAGAGCCAGCAGTGTGACAGCTGCCCCATGCAGCAGCTCCACAGGCTGTGTGAGCGGATAGAAGGTAGGAAACGGTCCCTGGCCTCCTTGACAGTGCATGAGTGAAAGATGAGGAAGTTAAAAAGAATTATAATTGGTTAGACAGATTTATTTGTCAACAGTAAAAGTAAATGCAAGGCTGCGGCTACCCAGTCCTGCCATATAGTTAAACTGTCAAGGATAAAAACACATCAACACAAAACACATCGAGGCCCTCTTAAGGGGAGAGAAGGGTACGATGGCACATAAACACAAGTTGGAGATTTACACTGCAGTCTGGGTGTGGAAGTCATATCGATATTGATTGTCAAATTCATACAGCTTTGTATACTTGTAGAATAAAAGAGCCATTTTGTTCAACCATTTGTACATTTAGCACTTTAAATCCAGCAAAGAAATTAACTATTTTAATACAGCGCTAAAAGGCTGAGCCTACAGCTGCATTTCATAAATATTTGATGTACGTTTCAAATGCGTCTGCAAGTTGACATGAATGAGATGGATGAAAGAAGGAAAAGGACAGATATAGCCACTGCTGCAGTGTGATCTAGACAGAAACAGCACAGTTGTCAGCTGGACACCCAACTGCCATATTGAAAATGTTACAAAACCATCTGACAGGTGTAGCGGCACAAATGGTAATTCAGTAAGAATCTAGGTAACTGTTGGCCGTGATAATAGCATTACATACGAACCATTTCAAGTTTCCTGGTTTTCAAGTTACAATGTACCAAGAAGCTATTCGGTGCATTTAAAGCATTTAGAAAAGTAATACCTGTCTAAACATTTGAATCGATCAGCAACAGCCTATTGCTGGAGCTCTGAATGTACTGAGTAGTTAGACAGTGTGAAAACCTTGTCAGATTCAGCTTTGTTTTGACTCTTTAATGTTACTGTACTCTATCCAGTGTTTACATACAGTACTAGTACGTGTTTACAATATATACAGTATATATATATATACTATAACTTTGCTTTGTTGGTCTATCTGTACATATGATATTTATTGCATGTCGGTTGCTCTTCCTGAGAGTTTTGTCTTTTTTCCTCAATTAAAGGGTTTTTTGGGACGTTTCTACTTGTCTGATATAAGGACAGATTGTGGCATGTGCTGTAAAGATTGTCCACTAAGGAAAATTTGTGATTTGAGATATTGGGTTATATAAATAAAATTGACTTGTATCTTATAGTATCACGGTAAATTGTTTTGGTATACGTATCTTATACAGTATCAGTCATTCATTTGTGGGGCATATTCTGGCTGTTACATTAATCAGAGTTTGGATGCCATGGTGTACGAGTTGCTGTGGCTGATAAGGTTTTCATTTCTTAACATCTCTGATCATTTAATATGATGTGTGAAATGCTGAGACATAAGTAATGTCCAGGTATTGATGGTTTAGGTCTAATGGAGGCAGAGTTGATATGTTGATTGTGGCAAGGTTGATCTTTTTTTTTAAATGATCACAACAAATAGCTCCTTTAATTTAGTTTTTTTTAGTCTAATTGTAACGAATGTATTCATACTTTTTATTTATATAGATAACTGCATCCATAAGGCATTACGGTATACTAGATACTATGCGACTGAATAATGTGACCAAGATACCAGGACACTAGGACGATACAAACATGCATCTGTTATTATGTAAAACAAATATGAGGTGAACCTAGCTTTGCCTTTTAATGTATTTTAAAACTGTATTTGCATCATTTTCAGGTCTACACCCATCTAAAACCAAACTGGAGCTTCAGAGACACTTGGCCACTCTGGACAATCAGGAGCAAGCATCAGTCTTTGAAAACACTATGGTAATGTGTCTGTTCTGTCTGTGCACCTAAAGAGCAATGTGTGAATTCCTAGAGCTCCCTTTGAGGTGACTGCAGCAAGATAAGAAACCAGTCAGTCTGCAGTTTTGTACGTTCAGCATGACTGAATCACTGTAGAATCACAAGATTTTCATGTGGGGGTTTACAGTGACGCATTCATCCTGCTTTACACATGACTTAAATAAATCTGACACCTCTTTATCTCAGTTGTTTTTTTCTCTCTTTAGCTCACTTAATGTTATTGTGTCTTTTCCAGAAACACCAGTGCAACTGATTGATTTAGTGCTTCTATTTAACTGTTGGAAATCAATAATGTCTTTGGATCTAGTGATGTCAAAAGCAAACTTATTAGAAGTGGTAAAAGAAGAAGAGATGAGTATCCACAAACCCACTATGACTCAGCTGACATCTGCTGGTGATACAGCTGAACTGCAACACTGCAGCAGTGTGTAATGTGTAAGATGTCTCTGTTAGCACAGCAGTTTATGTGTCTCCTGACCTTGGAGATTATCTCTCTTTATCTTAGCGACCTGCGCTATAACAGCATGACGTTTCCATGACAGTCAGGCAATGTAATGTAATTGTATTTTACAGTCAAAAAGCTTCTGATTTGTACGTTTTTTTTTTTTTATAATAGCTGTTCCTCACATCGCTTATATTTGCCAGAGTTGAATAAATATGAATTAATTTAAAGAATGTATTTGTGTTTGTGTGTTCCAGAGGGCTCGTCCTAAGAGCGATCAAGAAGAGAATGAGTTGGTAATGGCCTCACTGAGGAATCTCTATGAGGAGAGACAGAAGAGTCATCAGCACACATTACCTGGAGATGGCAAACAGGTAACTTTTGCACCTATATAATGTGCATCCACAATCTAACAGCTCTGTCTCTGCTTTGTAATATTCATTTCCTGTTTCTATTCCAAATATGTCCTATATTTCCTCAAAACTGTCAACAATTCCATGACAGAATAAGTCACCCAGGAAAGACGTCTGGAAAAAGATATTTTTATATCTTCCATTTACACACGCATACAAGTAACTGTCAGACTATGTGATCCTCCCTCTCACTCAGTCACTTTTGTGCCTTCTCTGTCTGTCTCTCTGTGTTATATCCTCTCTCCATGTATATATAGGTGTGTGAGGAGGCAGGTCCGGCCCCTGTGGAGGCGCAGCAGCAGAGTAGCAGCCGCCAGCGACTTGAGCAGTTCAAGAGTCGAGCCAAGCGCTCTCTCACTGAGTCCCTGGAGGGCATCTGGAAGGTAACAACACATGTTTTGTTTTGTGTGCATTTATGCACAAGTATGCACTTGTGTATAAGGGAATGCTATCATTACTTTAAAATCTACATGCAAGTAGAGATGGTAGTTTTTGTTTTCAGAGATTATGAACCATTACATTTTGTCCACAGAAATGGTGTTTTACCAAATAAGAGTCCCTAAAGAGGGGTCCTGGTTTGCAGTGTTTGTTTGCATGTAAAAGCTACACTCATAAGCTTTGCGGGTGTGTTCTTGGCAGGGGAGCAGCAAGGCCAGAGCTCAGAGGGACAACAGTGAAGGAAGTGACAGCAGTTCTTCCATCTGTACTGTCAACAGCAGTCAGGACCAGCCCTGCTTAGATGACCCCTTGTCTGCCTCCTCTCAGCTACGACCCACCAGCCCACTCAGGTAAACACACCTAAACACACATGCCCACACACTGACTCATATCTCGGGTCACAGCAGTCACTGTTGTCAGAGCAGTTCTTCTTGTTTATCTTGGTTTTCATGATTTTTGTGACCCTTATATAAGTCAGGGGCCTTGTCATCAGGCCTGTAGTCATAAGCCTGGTCAGGCTCAGCTTGACATAATAATCAGGGTCTGCTGCAATACCACAACAACACCTGTGAGCTTAGGTGTAGTCGTCTAGTGCATTGCAATCTGGGTGGAAGGCAAAGATTGGAGCTTTGATGTCCTGACACCTGCCAACAGAGCTGTCAACTGCTCACTATCCGAGTTGGATCAGGTGGTGGGTAGCTGCTAGGCAAACTGCCAGACAAACTCCCGTAAACCCAACTATAATTTCACAGTCTTAAACTATTACTCTAGCAAAATTGTTCATGAATGTGGGAGCTGGGGATAGTGAGGATTATGTTGAAAGCCTCCAATTTGGGGGTTTATTATGGAAGTTGTGGCCAGATGGAAAAATTGATAGAATTGATTGAAAAACAAAAAGTTGTTTTTTCCATACATGCTTTTTAGGTGTTTTTCTTGTCACCAAAAACAGACTTACAAGTCTAGGTAGTGTATATTGTATCTGTTGAGCTTTTTTTGTGCGGGATTGCATTAGGCTTGTATATACAATATCATACCATTTATTTCTTCTAACTCTCTTCCTGTGTCATTTTTTTCAGGTGCCACAACTCAACAGGAGACCTGAAGCGCCTTGACACCTCTCTACCCCTGTCCCCCTCCTCCTCCTCTTTACCTGGTGATGTGCAGCCACAGGGCTTCCGTCGACGGGCCAGCACCTTCAGCCACCCTCCCACTCCCTCCTCAGGACTTGAGTACTCACCGGTGCACACGCTGATTCACACTCCACAGGACCCCACTGCTGCTAACAAGCCCAAGCTCGTGCGGCACTACTCCGTCAGCACTGACACGCCACACCAGAGCAAGTAAGGGAAGTGTTTGTGTATGGTTGTATTGATAGTGTGCGTTGGCAACAATACAAACAAAGTAATGGTGGAGGACTAAATGTTGCTGGACAGTAGAATGTGAGAATGTGGCCAGTTATTCAGTATTGTCGGATTTGAAATATAGTACATGAAAGTATTGGACGCAGGTATTTCCGGAGCTAAATGATTGATGTGTTGCAATCTGAAAGTTTTCCCATATTGATCATGTGGAGAAAGAGCATGGTCTTGTAAGGGAGAGATGAAAGCAAAAGAAAGAAGGAAAGCGGTAAATAAGGGTTAGGGTTTAGAGGAAGGAAGTGTGAGAGGGAAAGTGAAATGAAAACTTATTTGCTATTTATAGCATTAATTTAAATTTTACTGTATGTATTTCTGTGTAAGTATGTGGTCTGTCAGTGATGTGTATGGAACTGCACTTGCAGACTCAATGTTTTATAAATGGAAATGACCAGGAATTAGTCTCATGGGTTGTGGAATACATGTGTCATATGCACATTTACTGTATAAGTAGAGGAAAATAAATAGGAGTTATAAAGAACTATGTATAGGAGTATACAGCCATCTTAATGCATTAAGTGGTTGAGCTCATGTCAGAGAAGTGATGCTTCATTTTTTAAAATCTTGATAGTCAACCAAAATTCTTGAGAATAGCTTTTCACCCTCTATCTCCAAGCGCTGCCTTCAAAAAACTATTTTCTTCCATTTCTGTGCTTTTTCGCTTTACTTTTTTTCTGTTTACATGCTTTTTTTCAGTGTCTTTGACTTTCTTTGCACCTTTTCTTTTCCTTCCTTCTTTATATTTGCACTGATTCTCAGACTTGCCCCAACCGACTCCGCCCTTCCTCCTGTTCCTCCCTGCCCTTCATCCCCCTCTCCTCTGCTCCCTCATCATCCTTCCTCCCCTTCTTCTGGAGCCCGGCTCAATAAAAGAAGGTGAGAATCCTGCACTGGTTCACTGTTCAGCCCATGCAGTATCTCTCATCTTAGTGCTCTGCAACACAAAAACACCACCACGTCATAGTCTGCATGAGCGCTAGGAGTCACATCCTTCTGTTGACATAAAAGGAGTTCAAAAGCATTTCTCCCAAGCAAAATGTGTCTGTGTGGATGGGGGCCTAAGTTTCTCTTTTCATTTCTGTTTTGCCTCCTTTTGTCACCTCCATCACTCCATCTCAGTCCTCTGGGTGGTCTGCGTGCTCGTCTCCACTCCTCCTCCTCTGTCCCTAATTTTCTGAAATTTCAATTTCTGGCTCCTGTCCAAGAGATTGATTGTCCTGAGCCAAAGAGCAGGTACATACACATGTACACCAAACAATCATGCCACGTTTGTGTGTAAAGCATAATAATAATAATTTGTGTTTCTTTCTCATAGATTCCTTTCACTGATTTCATGTCTCTATTATTTGATATATACACGTGTATAGGCGTGTGTATATGTGTAAACAGTATAGTATGACCTATTGCATGTTTAACAGGGTACATGTAACCTTCTCTGTGTGTGCTTGTTTGTGTTTTCAGTGATGTAGCGGCTCTCTCTACACCAAGTGCAGCATGTGGGGTTGGAGAAAGCCCTCTGCGCAGTCACCGCCACTCATGGAGGCAGCAGATCTTCCTACGGGTCGCTACACCTCAGAAGAACACAGACACCAATGGTAACCAAATTTATTTTTCTTTATACAGGGTTCCCCATGAGGCCAGGCAGTGGCCCTTGTAGTAAGACACTGACTTCGACAATGTCTGTCATTATCAGTCCCAAAGAAAGTTCAGGCTTTAATATGCCTCACCTGTCCAGTTTGCTGGAATGGATTCCCACTCGGTGTTGGTCAAGGGTCTGCTGAGTTGGTCAGTCACAAAGAAAATTGTATTTCCTATAAAAGCAACTTTTTTTCTTGGATTAAAACTGATGATTGAGTCCTCACCAGGTATTTTACTATTTTTGTAAGAATGTAAAGCATTGTACATTATTAATCTTAGTCTAGCATAGCCTATCTTCACACTCTGTTTTAGCTCTGTAGCAGCGCTGGAGAGTCAAGTCTATAGTCTCAAATAGAGTTTATTGTCAAACTAAAATGAAAGTGTAACTTCAGTTACCTCATCTATCAACATGATGCCAGTTAATCATGTTCAGTCTTGTGTATGTCACATCACTGTTTCGGTTGATGCCCAGGATTCTGACTTGCACCAACTTACAAAGTGTGAGCATGCACGCGAGCAACAGGATACTGGAGTTCCACCAGTGTCATTAAGGGTTTTCTGAATGTTGCGTATAAAGCCTTTAAATACATCAACACGAACAAAGACCCAGAGCACATGGGAGAGAAAGATTATTGATTTACTAAATATGTGCAGCACTTTTTCAGACAATAAAAAGTCAGATAACGGGGCGTCGTGTGGCGTAGTGGTCTAAGCAGGCGCCCCATGTGTAGAGGCTACAGTCCTCGTTGCAGTTGGCCCCGGGGCGAGCCCTGCATCGGACGGCCTTTGCTGCATGTCATTCCCCCTCTCTCTGCCTCCCCATTTCCTGTCTCTCTACTGTACTATCAAATAAAGGCATAAAAAAGGCCAAAAAAAATTTAAAAAAAGTAAGAAAACATTTGTCCATATGTATAGTGGGGCCACATCGAGGATGTGTGTTACTACACTAACCGAAATGTGTATGTAAATATGACACAGTTACTTACATGCGGAAAAGAGGAATGTAACATGTCTTTTTAGCATTTCCTTTGTTCTAATGCACACCATTTTTAACATTATCCAGGCTGACATCTGGAACAAAAAGGCGGACTTCTCACTCCAAAGCTTAAAACAAAGTGTACTGCACAGGAAAGGGCATTTAAGGGCATTTGAGACAGTGAAAATTCTGTGATATAATTTCTTTTGACTGAGTTATGCACATATTTTGCTTACTATTACAAAACAGTATGACATCTCTTAGTTGTCTATCTTACTTGCCAAAATAACAAAAATACCAGCTTTGTGTACTTGATGATTGTAAGTGTGTCTGTGTGTACATAAGAGCTTTGACAAGCAAAACACTAGGATTACTCTTCATGCCCCAGTTGCAAAGTTCAACATGTCTTCTTCTAAGGAAGAAGACAGTTCCAGGTCAGGACACCTGTGTAAACAAATGTGTACTCATATGCGTACATGTACTGTATGCTTTATAGGCTTCCAAAATAAATGAACATGAGCAAGACACTGCTTCATCACCTGTGCTATTATTAAAAACGGCCACATTAAGTCCCCACGTGTTGACAGTGGTGCAGTGAGAAAGCCTTTCCACTTAGTGTCACTCTTCCATTTAACGTGTGTCACAGCTGTAAGGGTTTGTCAGGGTTTGAGGGGTAAGGGCTGGACCCAAATGCAGCCAACACATGGGATACGGTGTAGACAGGTTTATTAAACTAACACTCACAGGGAACCACAGGGGATGACAACAGGTAACATGAACAGACTGAAGACAAACCAGACTTGAACAACTTTTGGAAGATCCAGAAATCAACAGACGTGAACAGGCTAAGGACAAACCCAGAGACAACAGTGACAAACCGACCCAGACAAAGGGGAGCACAAAGACTATATACACAAGGGGGGCAAGGGTGATTGAACACAGGTGAAACACATTAGGGCGGGGCAGACAATCACCACACAGACACAGGACCAAGACAGAAAGCAAAAACACTGACACACAAGGAAACCAATTACAAAATAAAACAGGAAGTGCAAAAAGTCCAAACAAAACTAACAAAAGGTGTCTGCCATAGCAAACCATGACAACGTGATGGTTACATGTTGTTTTTCATGTCTATTCAAGTAGTTATGGTTTATAATGCAGAGTGCTGTGGGATTTTTTTAAACTAATATATGTCAACCAAACATCCAGAACTGACTGCTCTGAGGACCAGTACAGTATCCACTGCTAATTTACCTTTGAAATCTCAAGATAGAAATCACCCGAGTCATATTCTTTTCTGGTCTTTAAAAGCACCTTGTCAAAGTATTCAAAAACTATGGTTTGAATGGCGATTTAAATTCCAATAAAAGAATTGGAATGAAGTTCTCAACATAGCTAGTAGCCCTTACAGTGTAGCCCTTACAGCGTCTAAACTTAAGACTAAAGATTGACGGCCACATGGCTGTGGCAGCTTTTTCTTGTTTTGGAGCTTTGAATTTTGCATTTCTAATTGAGCTTACATTGCTCTGTGTCATGTTATCAGTTGATTTTTGTCTATAGGGCTAATGTTTGACAATGAAGACTGTCATGAAATGAAACAGACTTGATGAAAAGCTTTAATGTAAACACAATCAAAGCACGTCTGCCTGCAGATTGGCAGTCCTGTCAAATATTGTAGCAGTGTGAAGGGTACAAGTAGAAAGCTGTGTCTTGCCTACAGTGAAATCATGTTTTAACCACAGATAACTTTGAAATATCAATCACATGATCCCCGTCTGCCTGTGCAGAGGTGGGAATCAAGCTTGTGCTTGCATGTCCTCAAATCCCGCATTTTGATGATTATATGTTGTGTGTGTGTGTGTGTGTGTGTGTGACAGAAGAAGTGTTGACAGTTGATATAGTTGGGTTGGTTGCACTGTAATGCCTGTATGAAGAGCAAACACAGTAAAAAAAAAAAAGTAGTCTGTTATTTTTGATTTTTGCTTGACAGACGTAATCAAGCAGAAACTTTCAGGCAACTTTTGTGCGTCTGAACTACCTGATGTTCAAAAACACCTCATCATATGATGCATGTAATTTCATGGTCTTTGTCCATTTGAATGTTTCACAGTGTGGAACAAACAAATGAATCATAATACACATAGAACATAATAGCTTGATATATTACCAAGGATTTTTGTATGTTATTTCTATTTCAGGTACTGTCACCTGAGTACAAAAGTGAAGGTACAGTAGCAAAGATATGCCAAGTGAGATAAAGTGTCAACTGGTATTGAATCTGAAAAATAAACAGGGGCACTTTCCACGTCAAAAACAATAGGGATGGCTGTTTTGGTACAAGTCTTGCGATGCCAGTGTTGCTTGGATCTGTGTCATATCCTTCACTTTTATTCAGCCTAATGGCACTGACTTCTGTAGCTGCCATTGCAATTGTGATTTTTTTTTATCCAGAGGAATGAGTGAAATAACAGATTACAGCTATACAAATGAGTGAAATTAAGCTCTTGAAAAATTCCCACAGTCATGGCAGAATATGCCAAATACAAGAAAACTTCATTAGAAAAGAGGTTTAGCAGTTCCTACTAGTAACTTTGTGTGGAAAGTCATGCACTGCTGTCTGCCACTGTGTGTTTTTTATGCTACCACTGAGAGGTGCCAAAACCTAAAATTCTGGCTTTACCAACACACTGCAGCCATACACATTTCCATACAGTTCAACACCTCTCTGATGCAGTCTCAACAGGCTTCACAAAGGTTTTTTTTTTTTTTTTTTTTTTTTTGCAGGAGTAATGATTATATTACACTGTAGGGCATTCCCATTACTGTGTTCCCTCCTGTACACACCCCTCTGTGTTTGACTGTAATAAATGCAGCAGGAATGTGGGACTAATGTGACCTTTTTATCCACCTTCCCACTCAATAAGCTTTTGATAAAGGATTAGTTAGGTTTAGACCTTTTATCATTGTGTATTGTTTCCTCTTCAAGTGAAACAGGTAAGCAGCAGGTAAAACCTCTCCCCTTGTCAGCAGTGAAATCCACACCTGAAGTTTATTTTGACAGTCAACTGCCATGAACTAAAGGAAAAACAATGCTTTAAGCAGGTCAGATCGGCTTCGTGCTGACTGAATGCGGTGCTAAGTTGGGTTTGGAGTTGGGTGTGTATTTATGTGTGTGCTTACATGCATGAGGTCATGGGTGTGTCAAGTTTGTGTGTGTGTGTGTGTGTGTGTGTGTGTGTGTGTGTGTTTGTGTTTGTGTTTTCGTGTGCGTGTGTGTGCATGTGTGTGTGTGTGTGTGTGTTTGGGGGGGTGGTGGTGTCTCAAGGTCATGTTGACAGTCCACACACAGACAGCGCCAGAGGAAAGCGCCAGCCCTGTTGACCCACTTTGCATGTTGTGTGTGTGCTGTGACTTGGTTCTGGCCAAGCTGGAGTGTTTGCTCAGGGAGTGGATTGTGCCACTTTGAACAAGAGGGTGTGTGTGCGTGTGTGTGGTTATTTTGACGTTAAAACATGGCTTTAGTGTTTACATTAAGCATATGCAGTACTGTAGCAGGTTAAGGTTAGATTAGGATAAGGGGCTCGGGAATTTATGCTCTCAGTGGAGAGTCCCCACAAGGACTGCAGGATAAGATAGTGTGTGTATGTGCTCAAGTGTGTGCATGCATGCATTCATTTTTCACACCTAGAAGCTAACTCTTTCCACCATGTTCTGTTGAAGCAGTGTAGCAGTCTGTGTTTGTCTAACAAATACATGACTCTGTTAAGTAAGTTAATCTTTTCTGGGTGTGTGTCTGTGTTAAGCATGTGTTTGGTTTGTCTTCACGTCTCTTATAACTCAAGAGCTGTATGTTTGTATAATGACACTGCTGGTTTCAGCACGCTTCGGAAAGTCTCTCTGACACAGACACAAAGGCGTACATTAATGTTAACCTCATCTGGCACAAAGAACTCAATTGTCATCATGTTTGTGTGTAATGTGTTGATATACAGTATCTAGTGCAAGACTTATCTAAGGTATTTTTTATTTTCACCAGAAGAGTCTTTGGAAAGATAAGCATCAAATTTACATACCTTTGCAAAAAGTTAAGAGGTGTGTGTGTGTGTGTGTGTGTGTGTGTGTGTGTGTGTGTGTGTGTGTGTGTGTGTGTGTGTGTGTGTGTGTGTGTGTGTGTGTGTGTGTGTGTTGTTTAACCTCAATCATGATGTTCCTACAAACTGAAAGAGAAGCAAGTGCTATCTGGATAGTTGTTATGTCCTTTTTCTAAACAACACAGGGTATTTTGAGGTTTGGGATCCACCCTGTACTTTGGGGTGGAGTCACACAAACACTTTTTTTTTTCCTGTGTGTGCGTTGCACCCAACTGTGTCAAATATATCTATGTTTAGCATTTTTCTTTTCTATTTTGCATGAGTGTCCGAGGGATGACAGAGAGAGAGAAAGGAGGTCAGGCAGCCTCTCTCCATCTTTAACCCAGCTGATGAATTCTGTGTTCGGATCTGAACCTGCTGACATTGGGTTCTGCATTTTTCCCATTTCTCACTTGACTTTGTTCCTACCTATAAATGAATTAAAACTTCAGTGAAATGCAGATTAAAGAATCCAAACAATGCACAGAAACACAGTCCCTTCCTTCCCCATAACCCTCTCTTTTTTTTCTTCTTCTTCTTCCTTTTCCACCCTGGCCATGGTGCCAGGAATCGGTGTGTTAAGACGCATACCACAAAACCACAAAACTGTGGGTTGGAATCCAAACAAAAACCTGTGGGGTGCTGAAACATCCCTTAATAAATTAGTTGACAGAAATGAATGGATAACTGTTTTAAAACTCTTCACTTAGTCACATGTAGTATTAAATAAAACTTGATACAATTGGTGTTTATAGCCTCATAAATGTGAGGATTTGTCATTTTGGTTCATTGAAAAAATGTATTTTAATTGTTTTTTTACTTTGAGTCAGTCATTTTTTTATATATTTTCAGCTGTGCAATAAAAACAAACATCTTTCACACCCTGTGAGTCTAGAAAATGAGAATACTGTTGGTTTCACATCAGATATTTTATTTTTTCCTAACAAATTCTGCTGTTTCACACAATCTGCTTACAAAGTTATGTTTTTTCATAATACTCTGAGTTAGAAGCAGTATTGTTAATCACAGTCTTATTATCTGTTGTTATTCCTGCATCCTCTCATTTGCTGCTGCAGTGAACACCTAATGTAGCATAATCTGACGCAGCCTAATTTAATATAATCTCATGTGTCTCTCAGAGCGGGGGGATCCCTGTCTAGAGGGGGGTCGAGTGTGCGTGGGCCAGGTGGGAGTTGGAGGAAGTGGAGACTCATCCATGAGGGTGGTGCCTGAGGAGAGGACAAAAAGGAGCAAAGAGGAGCTGAGGGAGCTGTGGAGGAAGGCCATCCTGCAGCAAATTCTGCTGCAGAGGATGGAGAGGGAGAACCAGAAACTACAGGGTGAGTTGCATGTATGAAGGGTTTTGAAACACACATAAACACTAGGAGCCTCCATAGAGTTCTTTTTAGCTCTTACTATGTTGTTGCACGCATCCTCCAATATAACAGAGAATATAAATGAAAATAAGCTTCACTACAAGGAACAATGTAATGTCACATTATTATTAAACTTATTATTAACATGGCATGTGTTCTTTCAAAGTGAACTAAAAGATTTGAATGTCTGCCTAAAATGTAAATGCAACATAATACGGACCCACTTCAAATATTACTGTACTCTAAAATTATGAGTTTATAAGGTAAAACATACTATAATAGCCATCATCATTGATATTATTGTGAACATTATACTGCTGCCAGTTCTTGCAAAGTTGGCTTGTTGACTATTTGCATGATAACAAGAACAGCCGCCAGCAGCACTTAGTAACACTGTTACTATAATAATAACATCATGATTTGGCGTTTCTAAAAGATAAATAGCAATACAATCAAGTCTTTCTTTAACCCATTTCTGGCAGCATACCTTTCCAGATGTGTACACACACACAGGTCATCAAGTGCACACCTGTTTTTCTGTCTTTGAATATTAAGACCCACCACAAATGAACAGGTTATATAATATGTAGTTGTGCCTGTATGTGCGTGTTTTTCTGGTTGGTATATCAAAGGGTGTGTCCACCACCTCTTTCCTGACCCAGTTGGCACGTATCAACACATACCTAACTAACACGTCACACCCCTAACTACCTGCACTGTATGCAAACCCTGAATTGACACACATGTAACACTTTACCCATCACACAGATAGAAATGATGTCTACTCCGCAGGGAAGTAAAAGAAGAAAGACAGGGACACACAGTTGCTGTACTCGTATATTCACATCTCTGGCATGTGGCGGCTTTCTTGAACATTTATAGTTTATTTGTGTTTTATTCCTCCCATTGGGTGCGCTCCATCTTTCTATTCGTTATTTGTCTGGGTGGAGCTCAACTCTGTGTCCTCCGTTCTATCAGTTTATCTATCTCACTATTCCCTGGTTTATGGGTCAACTGTAAAAGTGTGTGTGTCCGCCTTCATCAGTGTGCGTGTGTATCTTTGTCAGCTTTGGGGTGGGGTATCCTGTCCCGTTGTGTGTTAATCATGGGCGGGGTGGTCCGGCAGCAGAAAGGGAGAGAAATGGAGGGAGGGAGGCATTTAGAGAGAGTGTAGAGCGGAGAGATTGAGCACTAGCTGGACCAATGGAGGCCTGAGCCAATCAGCAAGTGATAGACTAGACTCTGCCTGCTCCAGACAGCTGATAAGACAGAGAGCAGAGCCACAGCCTCTCCACCAGCATCTATTCTTACTCTGGGTGTGTCAGCTGTCTGCTCCATCCAAGTTTTCTTCCTTTATTATCCAGGATACGCCCTCCAGGTCACTCCCGCTACTTTTCTAACTTTGATTGCTGAGGCCATGATTTATAGCACTTCATAAGAAGCATTCAGACCTCTTGAGATCTTCTCAATTTATCTTGTGCCAAGTTTTTTTAAAATGTGTTTATTCTGGAGTTGTTTCGTGCAAAGCACCCTACTTGTGCAAGGCATTGAATATGTACATTCTCAGTTTGTTCATTAAAGCTGCAATGCTATAATTGCTCCTGTTCACTTTTTGCACATTTTTCTTGGATCTGTTATACATGCATTGTGTTGGGAAATTCCCCCTGTTGGCTATGCACTGAATTTACCCTGTTTCCTGGAAGGTATTAGTACAGGTTCGAACTGGAAGTGGCCTCCTGTCTCCGTCCTGTCCTGTAGTGATGATATTACTCTGTCCAGCCCTGCCAAGTTGCAGCTGTTCTCTGGGTGTACACCACACATGAGCGGAAAGGGTGGGGACATCCACCAGGGGAAGGAGGGAGAAAAGGAGGAGGGAGAGTGTGGTTGACGGATGAGACAAATGTGGGATTGACTGAGAAAGAATGAGTTGAGTGCTGGCAGAAAACGAGAAAGAGAAGAAGATATGGTCTATGGGTGAAGAGATTAGAGGAGGGAGAGAGGAAGGGTGTTGTCATAAAGAGAGGAACAGCTGAGGGGTGCTGGGTGTGCCCTCACCTTCTTTGATCACTGGTGTCAGAATGTTGTAACGGAATTTATGGTTTGTGTGTGTTTGTGTTTTTGTGTTTAGTTTGTGAGCTCTGTTCATCTGAAAGTCCAGAGCCAGGGTTCCCCACGTGCAATTTGAGATTTAATGTCACAATTATCAATAATAATAAAAACAAGATGTCCAAAGGGTCTCTCTGACATCCCTTTATTTAATCTTTGTCTATATGTTGCTAGTATGTTAAATTACAGTGTGATTGGATCTATTAAAGATGTCATATTACTAGACACACAGTATTCAAGCTGTGAATTCCAGCCACAGGATGTTGTGGAGGGTCAGACGGATGCAGAGCTGAAGCTAACGACCGATATTTCTCCCAGGAGTTAGTAGAGACCAAAACCAGAGCTAAAAGAAGAGTGAAACACAATTGTGGCCAGAAAAGTTTGACATGTTAGCTTAAAAGGTGATGATATGTAATTTCTGTCTTAACAACTTTTTTTGCTGCCCCCAAATAGCCAAATATACTGCAGTTATCTCTCCCACATTACCAGTTGTCTGTTTGAGCTGTTTGCCTCCAAAATTTCCCAAATTATAAACATTGTTATCTTTTTTTTTACTTTTGTCAAAAAGTGCATTTTGTTTGGTAAAACTGTATAAATTCCTTCCTCTGACCTTAGCAGATTTGATTATTGAATACCTGCAGTCACAGTCACGGTCACATTTTCTCCTCAGCACTGTTTTTATTGTTATGACCAGTTAGTTTGCCGCAACACAAGAGTGTGTGGAAGTCACTATTAGTAATGTATGAAAGTGCCTCAGTGCAACAGCTGATGTGAGACGCATGTTTTAAGTGTGAAACCAAACCGAAAGACTAACAAACATGTACAGGGCCTAGTGCATGGCCAGGTGTTCCCACAATATAGCAATGGTGCAGCTGCAGCAGCCCTGCCAAAGGCCTGTAGCTAACACATATACACATCAGAGGACCAAGACAAAGTAAGCTGGGAGTGTCATATTATTGACTTGTATTATCTGTTTCTATATTTGTAGCCTCAGAGAGCGACCTGCAGAACAAGCGTTTGAAGCTGGACTACGAGGAAATCACTCCATGTCTGAAGGAGGTCACTTTGGTGTGGGAGAAGATGCTGGGAACTCCCGGGAGAGCAAAGATCAAATTTGACAAAGAGACCATACATGCTGCTGTTGCACAAGGTAAATATTTGGCTCCACAAACGCATATATCAGTGGGTCTTGGAAATGTTTGTTCTTTTTCAAAATCACCAGGTATTTGCAAATATTGACCAGCGCATAATGTATAAAGCTCCAAAACTGAAAATATGTATTGTAACTTATCTCCTTATCATCGGCCTCGGCCTGAGCTGTTTTCTGAAATATGGCAACAAGAGAGAGCATGAATCCAGTGTTTGGGGTCACAGCGAAGTGGATATTTTCCTTCGACAACTTTACCCCCAGTGTCCATCTCTCATTGTCAGGGCTTTCTGTTCTGTCCATTTTCTGGTATCAGCATGTTCTGCACAAAGGACAGGAAGGTTACCTCCTCTGCCCTCGGCCTCGAAACATAACAGGAGAGTAGAACACACAGAAATGATACTGGCCAGTGAATAACAGTGTTACAACTTAGAGAAGTAGCAGAGTAGAAGATTCTGGCCACACCATCTTATAGGAGGAGGGTAGGAGTAAAGCTGCCAGGTCTCATGTTAAGACATCCTCCTCCTGTGAGCTTTACATGTTCAGTGTTTGATGGTTTGATGTTCTTTTAAAGGCCCAGTGCTGATAGAAGTATGACCAAGTTGATTCATATTCTAATTCATTTTACTTTTATGGCCTGTTTTACATGCCCTTTCTGTCATTACAACATCTAAGGTGCTCTTAAAGGAATAGTTTGATATTTTGGGAAATAGGCTCATCTGCTTTCTGGTGGAGAGATAGATGAGAAGATGAATACTGCTCTGAGGTCTGTCTTAAATATAAGGTTACAGGCTATTGCAGCTGCTGGTTAACTTAGCTTAGCACAAAGACTGGAAATGAAAGAATAGCTAGCTTAGCTCTGTTTAGGGGAAAAAAATGTTGACTTGACACACAAAATGGGAGTCAACTCGTGGTCTTCTTGACTGATGCATAGATTAGTCGACTATTTGGCGGACAGTCATAGCTGTTTCCCCATTTCCAGCCTTTGTGCAAAGCTAAGCTAACCGGCTACAGGCTGTAGCTTCATAATTATATAGACATGAGAATAAGTATTAATTTTGACATCTCACTCTCCACCAGAAAGCAAATAAGTGCATTTCCCAAAACGTAGAACTTTCGCATCAACCTCCAACTTCTGTTGTGAAGCTGCTCAGTGACACAAACACATCAGACTGTGGTTGTACTGGGCGGATTCCAGGTGTGAATGTGCATAAATGAGTGTGAACAGGGTGTTCTGAAGTAGAGAGCATTGCTCTCAGTGAAACTTAAAGGTTAGAAACATCTGTTTCTGTGCTTAAATTCGGCCTCAAATTACTGAAATAAATTGAATTTAATTTGAGCTAACAAAAAAGTAACACTGCTCTATCCCACCACTTGTAATCTGAGAAGTGCACCAGTCAGTAATTGTGTGGTGCACCAGATGTCAGAGTCCATGGGATTAAAACAATGCATAAATCAAAATCCTGAATCTTTGTAATCAGGGAAAATATTTGTGGTATATATCGTAAACACAAACTCTGCTTACTTGGCATTGCATTTAGGATATTTGCCATAGAATTGTATCCCCAAGTTCAAGAATGAATCTACGTGCTCAAGGCAAAATAGTGTAGAACATAGTATCCCCTCACCATTAAGACACATTTCAAACAGCTGTCTGTCAGTGGGGGGTGGAAGTAATAGAATAATGGAATGATAAATTATCAAGTGACATTTTAATTAGAATGTCAGTCAAGTTTATCAAATCATTTGACAATTTAACACTCTATTTTTCAATTCACATACATTTCACCACTTCCATTATTAATTTGTAAGAATTTTCAACCCTTTTTTTTTTCTTTTTTTTTTTTCTTTTTGTTAGTCCCACCCTTGAGGCCACTTTCCTGAAACGATAAGAGGCAATTTTGTGTTGTGAGTGATGAATAATGAATGTAAGACAGTTAAAGTGTTGATTCATGGCTTTGTTTTCATCATATCATGACTTTTTTAATCAAATTGTTTTTAAATGAGTCAAATCACTTGATAATTTATCACTCCATTTTTCATTTCACATCCATTTTTACTGCTCGACTTTTCAGTTCACATGCATGTTCATTACTTCAATGAATTTTTGTTACTTCCACCCCTCATATCTGTCTGCCACGCAGTCAAACTAATTACTGGGGTGATGTCAGGTATTTTTACAGTTGAGGTAAGGCTCCTCTGAGTAGCCTCCTCAGATTCCTGAGATTCGCCACATTTTGAAGTTATAATGTTACATCACCTTAGGATTTTCATAACACGGGTATGTACATTGATGAGTAACATGGTAGAGAGTAGTGTCTGACAAGGTCTGCGCCTGCACAGCTGTCTGGCACAGCAATTTAACATGTTGTACCACCTTTGCACTATCCCACCCCGCCCAACCCCACCTCCTCTACCTCTGTCGTCCAGGTGTCCCGAGACAGCATCGAGGCGAGATCTGGAAGTTTCTTTCTGAACAGTACCTACTCAGGCAGACGATCCCCTCCCGACCTCCTGCCAATCACACTCCATACAAAGAGCTGCTGAAACAGCTCACCTCGCAACAACATGCCATCCTCATCGACCTTGGTAACACACACACACACAGAAAGAGAAATTATTTATGTTTCCAATGCTTTAATTTGAAGCTATTTTGCTTTATGGGATGAAGATGAAACAAAGGTTTTTAAACCCTATACACAAACACACTAATTTTCCTCTCTTCCGTGTGTGTTTACCATCATTCTTTGACTAATTACACAGTGAAAAAGATATAAAATTGCATCATATGAGGTATTAAGTATTTGGTTAGCATTGCAAAAACCCTGTACATAGTACTTTACAGTGTTTAAACCTCATTTTAACACTTTCACCCTCAAATGTTCCCAACACCTTCTACCCAAAACCCCCTCCACACACACACACACACACACACACACACACACACACACACACACACACACACACACACACACACACACACACACACACACACACACACACAGACTCTGTTCCTACACTCCACCCATATAACACCCACATACATACACACATCCACCCACACATCCCTCCCTCTAGCACTTAAACTTATGTGTTTTGCTGTTGACCTTGTGGGTTTCATCTGCTTATTATGTTATTCACTGCGCAGCGATGGTGTGCTGACATGGCCCAAGCTAAAGGTGTCATGTGCTGTAGGATAAAAGCGTACAGTGTTTATGATACTGATGCACCACAGTGTTTTTCAGGTAGAAGACGCATTGCTGCTTTAGGCCATATGCTTCATGTAAAAAAACAAAACAAAAAAAAATACAAACATGCAGACTTTAAGTGAATTAACATAAGTTAGGCAAGAGGCAGGGGGTTTATAATTTAGGGTTGTTAAGTTTAGCACTCCCACACCTTACATTCAAAACACAGAGCAAATGTACACACACACACTTTGCTTCAGGCAGGGGAGGGAGTTGTGGCATTATGTTCACAAACATAAAGCCCCCACAGCACATTCCACATATACGCGCTCACATGGCCGCCATTGTCTTCTCCAAAGCCTCACTGTCACACACTGTAAGTCAAGAACCTCAGTCCCAAAACACACACATCTGCCTATTACCAGCCTGTCTACGTTAAGAATGTGCTTTTACACATCCCAGGTCCTCATTATGTTGTCACTTTTGAAACGTACATGTCGCATCTGCAGTTACATGTTAAGCTTCTTAAGGAGGGTGTGAACTTTGCGTAAAGCCTCATTCATGTGTGTGTGTTTTCATGAACATGTTTGTAAGCATGACTTGGAATGGGTTGCCACATGCTCATGCACCAAGCTCCTTTTCTTTTAACATCAACAGCATAGTGTGAAGACTAGCCGCCTAAGACAAAGTTCAGCAGAGTTTATACTTTGCTCAGACACGTGCACACACCCACAGGCGTTGGTTTTTTATTGTAGTTCTCTCAGATTCTTTCCAGGAGAGTGTCAGACAAAATCATGTAAATCAAATGTATTAAAACTGTGATATTGTGCTTTTAGATGGATATCAGGTTGATATCAGACATCAAAAAGATGTCTAGCCTAGTGTTTCATAATAAATATAAACAGTGCAGATGTTTTGCAATGTAGATAATATCTCTCTCTTTTCTTCTGTCCCAGGTCGCACTTTTCCCACCCATCCATATTTCCAAGCCCAGCTGGGGGCAGGACAGCTGTCTCTGTATAACTTATTGAAAGCCTACTCACTGCTGGACCCTGAGGTATCATTTAATTCATTCATGCTTTCTTCCTTGTGTCACTTTATTTTGAGGTGTCCTTCTCTCCCTCTCTTTTGGGACTAAACTGTCAACTGTCTTTTAGTCTTAAGCTTTTTTCTTCTTCCCTGTGTGTGTAGACATCAAGTTTTTGATTGTTGTTATTGTAGGTGGGCTACTGCCAGGGCCTGTCCTTCATTGCGGGAGTCCTGCTGTTACACATGGGGGAAGAGGATGCCTTCAACATGCTCAAATTTCTGATGTATGACGTCGGGCTTCGTAAACAGTACAGGCCTGACATGATTATCCTGCAGGTAAAATGCCCACACAAACACACAAACAGCCTATTTGTGCCACTTACATAGTACAAAATGATTAAATATGTCACTGTCTATTATCATACTTAAATTACATCAAAGAGAGGTCCATTCATCAATCAGTATATTTATCTCACATGATCTATGTGATATGTGATGCATCTTAGTTCCTCCTTTCTGTTTTCAGAATCACAGTGATCAGTTTACAGCTTCATGTACAAAACAAAGCAACCAATTTAAAGGGTGCCGCATCATTGGTGGAGTTGAGACGTGGTTACCGATGCCTGTTTACATGAGAATTTAGCTGGATTTATACCTGATGTGAGGTTTTAACGGGACCTTTTGCAGGGGTTTTGATTTTTAGTTGAGTGTCTATTTCACTCTTTGATAGAACTACTGATGTACTGTACATGATCAGGCCATATTGTGCTTGAATTATATACTCCACGGTTATTGTTTTTACATTCCTTCATTCGCTTTGTGATAAAGAGTGACGGTGGGAAGATTGTATACTGAAAAGGAGATTATTGCTGTACAATTGTTCTTTTACCTCCTGTGATAAGATGCGTTTCCATCACAGCAACTCTCCCTGTGCAACAGGAACCTTTTGAGGAACTCAGTAGAAGATTTGCAGTGGGGAAATGGCTTCACTAGATGTGTGTTAATGAAAAAGAGTGGATATCTGAGTTTTTCTTAAACATTCTTGATGTTGACTTCAGCCTGCACCAGCATCAGAAACTTGTAGAGGAAAACAGAAGCAGAACATTCATGGTTCTTGCCGTCTCCATATGGTGTCGTGGTGGCCGCCATAGCAGTGACATACTGTATAGTTGCATTTTTGAGCGTAGGCTCTGTAGCTATGCTTTAATTGTACAACAAATTTAACCTTGAAACCATGTTCAAAACCATAAAATCACAAGCTTCACATATGTACACTCAACCACATGCTTCCAGTCAGACCAGTAAGTCTAACTGTGGTGTGTTGATGTCAGATTCAGATGTACCAGTTGTCACGGCTGCTCCATGACTACCACAGGGATCTTTACAGCCATCTAGAGCAGCAGGAGATCGGACCCAGCTTATACGCCACCCCCTGGTTCCTCACCGCCTTTGCCTCACACTTCCCCCTCGGCTTCGTGGCCAGAGTCTTTGGTAAGCTATGAGGACTGTCTATGTATGCGCACTCACGGAACATACTCCCACTCTACTTGGTCACCACACTGTTTCTTCTTCCTAAGAAATGCTCGGCAGTGTAGATTAAGCAAACAAGCAGGATGATGGTGCGTCCACAGAGATGTTTATTTTATCCCCACCCCCTCACCCCCTGGTTAACTTTTCTAATTAGATATTGAACCCAGGGTGGGGGGGGTGGTAGAACACCATGAAAATGAGGAAACTATGATTCAACACTTGGCAAAACGGGACAAAACAGAAAGTAAAGTATATACAAGGAATCTAGTAAATCTGGCAGTTGGGCAAAGAAGATAGGAGTGGAATTGTGTTTTGTTCATGTATAAACGAAAATTTTATGATGACAATCAAAACTTTTCAGTTATTTTGTTCTAAGGGCTTTAATAGTGAGTCATGTAGATGCAGACACAGTTGCGATAAAGTCTTTGTTAGTCAGTTACAGACTATTGTTTTCCTCTGGAGTTGATCTTTTATCACATCACACCCACTTGGTATATGTCCGTTTTTCATGTCTTTGCTTTTCTCTCCCTCATTCCCTCCTTACTGTTGTTTTCATGCCTAATTTCTTACATGGTGCTCAGTCACTGAACCAGACTCACCGGCTCCTCATGCTCATCTGAGCATAACACCATGGGGTGTGCGTGTGCGTGTGCGTGTGCGTGTGCATGTGCGTGTGCGGGTGGGTGGGTTGGTGGGTGGGTGGGGGCATTGGCTGAAGCCTGGAACAAATAAATTGGATAACTAATAATCACACTGGGCTCAGTGTTCAGCATTCCCTCATGTGTTTTCTTAAGTTTCTAGTTTTCCTCTGATTTGCTAATACCTCCNACACACACACACACACACACACACACACACACACACACCAACACACATAAGAGGCCTTTGATGGGTTAGCCAACAGTACACTGTAGCGTGATCGTGGGCTATGCTTGGCTGGAAGGGGGGTGGGTGGGTGGGTGTTGGTGTGTGTGTGTGGGTGTGTGCACATATGTGTGTTTGTGTAAAAGGTCATCATCATAGCACTGTGTATTCTTTGGTATCATACTCCACACCTCAATCCTTAGTCCTTAATCTGTTGTATGATCTCATGCAATGCTGCCCCACCCTGATGCATTCAAAGTACAAACAAATACACACACCTTCTCTGACTCTCCAAATCCACCCTGGCCTATATTTATATTTGCTTAAACCTTTTGTTGATGTCAAAGCATCTATCATTGGAAAACCTTTTAAGTCATCGGTCAACACAGTATGCTCTGCTGTGAGCACCTGTCATTAATTCATTTTACATTACATAATTTTAACAGATGTCACACCAGGGCCTTTTCTAACCTACTATCTCTCTGTTTTATTTGTTTTTCCTCCTCTATAATCTTCGACTCCTCTTTTTTGTCTGTCAGATATGTTGTTCCTGCAGGGGTCAGAGGTCATCTTCAAGGTAGCCTTGAGCCTGCTGGGGAGCCACAAGCCTCTGATCCTGCAGCACGATAGCCTGGAGTCCATCGTGGACTTCATCAAGACCACCCTGCCCAACCTGGGCCTGGTTCAGATGGAGAAAACCATCAACCAGGTTAGAAAAATAGACAGATTTACTCAGAAATGTATGACTGCCTCTTGAATCACTGGACAACCTGACTAGAATACAAAACAAAATCACTCATCTGTCAGAGTCTGTTTCTATCTACCATATCTCATTTATTGTCATTTTGGGGATTATAGTAAAATATTTGAGTTGCATTTCATGTCAGTATTAGGAAACCATGAAAAAACAGATACTGGTTAATTTTTAATAATATAGTTATTAAAAATATAGCTATTTTTCATATTGTCAAAGAATCACATGAAAAGACCAAAACCAACCATGTGTTACTCCATCTCTTGTCGGTTTTCTTTCTTTGGCACCAAAACCCAAACCCATTCATTTCTACCAAAAACATAAATCTATAAAAACAGATAACAAATAGATTTTTTTAAAGCAGGGCATTGTAGTTTTAAACAAATGCTAAACAAACAGGAGTAAATAGTGGATTTAGTTTTTTCAGTTTCCAGTTCAGTTTTTCAGTTCAGTTTTTCAAGATTAAAGGAGTACTCCACTGATTATAATGTAAAGTTATGGGACTAGAAAGAGACAAAGTAAAATGAGACAGATGAATATGGAAGCAGCACAGACAGAAATATCCTGACTTTTATTCTCCATTATGGTTCAAATTCCAAAAACACTGAATTCAAAACCCTAATAATGCGACTTGATGTGACGAGTAAACTGAACTTCATGGTTAGTTGATTCATTTATGCCGAATTAGCTGTTTGCAGTTCCTGTTTGCGATACACCCATGGATGTACAGACAACTATCATTGGGTTACTTTGATACTGAAGAAAGTTCTGCTGTTATAAAGTGCATCTTTATTCTATGATTTCAAAGCTGATTTTTGGACGTTTATTCACACCGGATACTGGCGAGATTGTCGAAAAGTGTAAGTTACTCTAGAAAATATGTGTATCATGTCTGTGTTTTCATATTTGGTAGAATTATGACTTTGTGATTTTTAATGTAATTGTCTCTCACAAAAACCTCAGGCATAGAATAAATAGCTAAATCAGGCTTTGGCTGATGTAGGCACAGACAGTACTTGGAAGTGGATTCATTCATTATTGGTTTTGTTCTTTTCATGGGACTTTGTTAACAGTAAAACAAATATAGAACATCACTAGACTTTTCATTTAACCCAGCATCACATGCAACAATGACTGCTATCTCCTAGCAACTTCATGGGAGGTTGAATGAATTTGCATAGGGTGGATGAGTGGTTAAATAACCTTTTGTGATGTGTTCTGATGTTGTATATCTGATATTCTGCTTGAGTGCCTAACCATTCACAACAGGGATGAGGGCAACTGATGGGTGGAGTGTCAGCAAAGTCATTTAACCTCCACTTCATACATCAGTATTTGTGGTGAAAAAAACACTGACACTAGTCTATGTCAATAACATCAGGGTTGAATGACTCCAATCACCAGCGGAGTCATGATCAGATTGTTCTTATAGGTGAGTCTCGTGTAAGCTGGTGTTATGATAACATTTATCATTAACATGTGGTAATGTAGGATGTATGTTGGCTTCAGATGGGAGGGGCTGACAGAAATAGTTGATGAGTCAAATACATGTACAGAGATGTTATCAAGGTACGCTATAGTTTAGGAAATAATGTGTTTACCATATAATTTGCATGAGATAGCAAGTGGGTGTTGAGCCATGCTAAAGCTTACTGGTATTTTCCCTCCAGTGCCACTTATCCACATCAGAACATCTATACGTTGACTGTGGTGTGACTCAGTTTCACTACAAAAAACAGGGAGTGTACAGGATGTGTGGAGCCTTGTGTGCTCTCTCCATTGTTCGTGTTCTATGATGTAGAAATATAGAACATTCAGGTCCAGGATTACAACTAGTTAATTTGGGTAAATAGTGACATAAGAAGGAAACATTTTAAAGGGAATTTCCAGTTTCAAATGACCTTTTGTTTATAGTTTTGGCCATCGTTCCTATCAGTAATGATAACATTGTACTCCCAAAGTTAAGCTGCTGATATTTGAGAACACGGAAACATCACACAAACAGTCAGATCATCTTACATGTTTTAAACAAATCTGCAGATTAGCCAAACTTATTTTGAAGGGAAAATTATTCCTCTTATTACCTGTCCATTAAAAGACCTTGGCCTTCTGCATTTGTTGTGGTTGTGTAATGAGAAATTATTGCCAAGTATGTTCACTTTAAATTTTATTTCCAAATGAAGTGGGTTGGATAATCTTGATAAACTGGAAAGTAAAGCAAAAACTTGCAATGCATCTTTGCTTTATTAGCAAAAAATAAAAAGTCACATTCAGTGAAGAAAGGTACAGAGACCTGCAAACAAGAAACAAGAATTCCAGGCACTCTGAGTTTCTCACTTTTCCAAGTGCAAATACTGCAGGGCAGACACCAACGTAATTTGTGTCAAAGTAATCGTCAGGGTGTTTGCGTTCAGCTGAACTGTGTTGGTGTCAGCATTGAAATTTAAAATGCTTTTTTGTTTGTTTGTTTGTTTGTTAAATCTGGATAAGCTGTTGGCTAGTTTACAACCTGTTTTATTTTTTCTTGTCCCGTCAGACATGTCATCATGTTCCCACATCTCTCAGCAGTTACTTATGCAAGTACAATGTAACATTGTACAATGTTATCGTAATTGATAGGTAGCTCTGTACACTCTCTGTGTCTGTTAGGTGTGTGAGATGGATGTGTCTAAGCAGCTCCAGGCCTATGAAGTGGAGTACCACGTCCTGCAGGATGAGCTGCTGGACACGCCCCCAACCCTCAACCAACACCAGCGAGCAGCACAGCTGGAAAGGACCAATCAGAGCCTCCGACAGCAGAACCTTGACCTGCTTGAGGAGCTGCAGGTACACACGTGTGAATCACACATAGACAAAAGTTATTGTCTGTGTTGTTTTGTTCATTTTAACCTTCATTTGGTCTTCTCCCATCAGGTGTCCCAGGCTCGTGTGTGCAGCCTGGAGAGTCGAGTGGAGGTTTTGGGCCAGTCGGAGGGCCGACTGAGGGAGCAGGTTTCTGCACTGGAGGAGGAGAAGAATCAGTTGCTGAGCACCGTCACACGCCTCCAGGACCTCCTCACCAGCCTCGGCATACACAACTCCCCTGATGGACACACGCTCTCCTCACCTACTGAAAGACATGCAGCCTCAGCAGCAGCAAAGACAGAAGACAGAAAGGGGCTGGCGAACAGGACTGAGGACCCCCTTCTCCACATGCTTGCTCTTCCAGAGGGTTCGTAACTACAGGCAATAAATTTCCAAACAGTAAGGTCAACCAGAGGAGGAGCCGGCTGTGGAAGACCCAGGAGGAGAGGGTCAAGGGAGACGTCAAGATGACTCCCTACGTCGACCTTTGTCCTCTTCCCAGCTCCAGAATGTTTTAATAAAAAGAGGCGGGACAGAGGAAGTTGGATGTATAACAGGGAGGAGAAGAATAGAAATACAACAAAAAATGGGGATTAGGTTAAGAGAGAAAGAAAAATAAAGGATGGCACCCTTGAGTATTATCCCAAAACATTTCACATGCCCTCTTCCAACTCTCTAATAAATATAAATGAACATGTGATTTGACCAACAATCCCCAAAGTTAGCATGGTCTCACTGGGCCTGTGCTGTAAAAACAAAACAGTTACATTTGCACCTGTATTTGTATGTTTGTGTCTTTGAATGTCTGTGAGTGCTGTCACTCGTGTATTTTATGCTCCGACGAGAAGGTTTTTTTAACTGCGTCGCATGCAAAGAGGCTAAAATAGCCAAAGACTGTCCCTGTCAATGTAAGACGAGCTCAAACAAAGACTCAGATACTCAGATAGTATCCTGAAACATGTTATCGATCACCCTCACACTCCACAGGAGTACAAAGATGAAATGCCTCCAAAGAAGCGTGACAGGAAAGTGAGATGAAGGGACGGGTGAAGAAATAAACTTCATGACAAAGTGTTTTTCTGTTAAAAAGGTTGAATATGATTTAATTTAAATGATGTAAGATCTTGGATGGTGGTGCTCATATTCGGAGGTCAGAGTTGAACTATTTTTTGTTTCCTCCTCCGCTTTTCTAGTCTTCCACAGTGTTTGCTTCCTGATCCTGTATTTTAACTTCATTTAGTTACAGTAGCTTACAGGAAGAGTAACACAATAAATAGAGTCCATTTCACATCCTGTTTTTTTCACCTTTGAATACACTTCAATCTGTCTGTGTAGGAAGGGAAATAGAAAAACAGTTTCAGCAGAAAAACTGTAAAACAGTAGCATTGTTTTTCTCATGAGAGGAACTACACCCTTTTTTTAGAGCCTGATCAATTACTTTAAATTGCTGCAAAACAAACTTATGTCTGAAAGTTCAAACAGGAGACCTCTGCTGTTGAGACAATCTGTCAGCTACAAATCATTTACTGTATTCAACACACTGAATTCATTCAACCCGAGCTGCAGATTGGTGTGTTCCTATGTGAATGTCTAAATGTGTCACTGTGTGTCTGTGTGTTTGTGCACTTCACTGATCAACAAATCTGTTGATTTACACTGTAAAGATACTTTGCTCTTATTCCTGACTCTCATTGCACATGTTTTTGTTTTATTGATTATTGCTATTGTTGTAATGTACTTTAAAATACATTTCATATCCTTTCATCACATCTGAAGCCAGTTTTCTTTTTTTTTTTTGTGCATGCACACAGTATGAACTCACGTCAGGTGTCACACTGTTAGAAATGGTGTAGACTGTGCGCCCTCCTGTCTAAACATGCCACTCAATTTGAATGTTATGGCCTTGATATAAGGTTTCAAGCATGTGGAAATGTACTGTACACAGTACTTAAAACACAGACATGTATTTGTTTTCAGGAACAGCTCCTGAGGTTGTAGGAAAGGCATGTTGGGGCAAGTTGTGGCTCTGTTAGCATGCATGTATGTGTGTACACAACAGAAAAAACCCCAACAGAGGAACATCAGTAAAATCATGCAAATACACAATAAAACATAAGAATTTTTGGTTTTCAATCATGAAAAAAACATATTTGCTATATGTATTTAAAGCTTCAGGATTTTTAATCTTTATACCTTAGTTACCGTGGACATGTGCACGCCACCTGAGAAAATGTTCTGGTTTTTCCAAGTGATTGTGTCTTTTTTATTTATTTATTTATTGGTATGCATGCATTTCCTCGAGATGCACCTCAAAGTAACATGAGGACACAATTGAGCTCCTGGCAAACTGTTTTTCTCCTCACATTCCTAAACGTGTTTGAAGTCCCGTGGGTGCACCCATTAATCAACCAGCTGGTCAGGTTGGAGCTGCCTATTTATCTGGATGTTTCTGTTTATGCAAGTGATCTTTAATAATAACAAAATAACATCCCTGTCATCATCGTTGCTGTCTCCCAATTCCATAGTGATATTTAAAATGTAGTGTTTTTGCATTTGTCGTGCAAGAATCCAACATACATAGAACTCCTCTTATTAATATTTTTATACTGATATTGGATTAAATAGCAACATGCGAAAGTAGTCCCTCATGGAGGTGAACCTAGAAAGAATTATCACTTGACTGCAAACACTGCAGTCTCTATGAGCATGTCAGCTTCTTTTAGCCTATTTTCAGTTTTACAGCCTGCAACTTGCAGTTGTTTTCAGCGCCATATACTACTTGCTCAGCAGCAAACAAAGTTAGCGATTAGCTGGCGAACACAGTGGAGCATTTAGCTGCTAAATGTGAGTTGTTTCCCTGAGGAGTTGGTTGAGACCAAAAACAGAGTTATAAGGAGAGTTAATAACTTAAATGGTTCCCACGCCTTCTGGAAAACCTGGAAAACAGTTGACCTAATTATTTCAACATTATCCTATTTTCGGGCAAAGTCATGTTCAGGATCATGTTGCCATTCAAATGGTTGGCTAGCTTATGGACGACAGTATTTTGAAAAAGCTGCTATCAGTTTTGTTTGACTGTGAACGCACCCTGAGGTCCCATCACATGCCTGCAAGTTGGATGATTTACAACTGAAGAGGAAGAAACTCCAAAGAATGTAAGTTACATTATCCTTTAAATGCACGTAAATCAATGTTGGCCGCTAACTGTGGTAGTTTTATCAGGTTTTTTGATTAACGTATTCTTCCAGACTTGTTTTAAACTGTTGAATAAAGGGTTAGCATGTTTGGTTCAGTTGCTGAAGTTGACGTGCTTGCTAGTTTGTTTTGCCTGTAGCTAAAGGTTTATTGTTTGTGATTCAACTCTGGCGGAGCAAAGGTTTCAAATGTGTGTTGGTTCAATGCTTAGATAATAATAATTATGGAAACGGGTCAATAAAATGAATGGGAGCCCAACTGTATGTTAGTCAAACACCGGCTAAAAACTCGCTCGAATACTCGATTTTGTTAGCGTCACTTCTAACCCAATGCTGCGTTGTTCAGATAAGACAAACCATAATATAACATGAAATGAAGTTGTTGCTATCAATGTGTCATAATTTCATAATCAATTATGCATGTAAGACACGGTTTCATAGATATGTATAGCCAATAAGGCTGCACTTATTTGAAATCAAACATGTTCATGTATGGCGTGGTTCCTGTCTGTCATATGAGCTAGACCACCACTGAAAATGATTTCTAAAAGAGTGGGAACTCTGAACTGAACTTACATTCAGCATGTGGACGGTAACAGGACTCAAAATAAATGCTGCTCCGTATAAGTACTGAATGCGTAACTGTTTGCTAACAAGTTCGTCATTTGAGCTTAAAATGTTATGATAGGCCTACTGTTGTGTCCACAACTTGTTTCCATGGAACCAAAGTGTCCAAAATATAAAAATACATGCACCATCAGAGCCCAGTCATGCTGTGATGCTTTTGAATGCATCTGCCAATCAAACTTGACAAAGATGTAGAACATTTTTCTTTTAGTTTGTTTTCTCTCTCTTACTCTCAGAAATCAAGCCTTTACCCTGCATATTGACTTTTTCTCACTTCTCCAGTGTGAACACATGCAGAGGAACAACAATGGCACAGATTAAATTCTGGTTAGGGACATTCGTTAAATGTCATACAGTAGTTCTCTCTCTTATCCCACATTTCTTGTCTTTATCTTGACTCTCACTTCACTTAATAAAGGCAAAAATGCTAAAAAAAAAAAAAACTAATGCCTGTGACCCCCAACCAGCTCCAGACATGATGTTCTGTAAATTACCTCTGACTTCTTTGTTGAGGAGGGAAAGACAAAAGAGGTATTAACAAAAAATTACATTGTTATTAACCTTAATACCATCATTAATATTGTCAGCGAGCTCTTACGCTAACCACTCTGTGTCAAAGACACAGCTAATGTCTTGATCCAAACCAAACACTTTGTTGAATGTAGATTTCCATGAAGCAGACAGAAAGGGAGTCAAGCTCTTTACATAATATCCAGAAGCTGCACACGCCCTACTGTTCTAATGGGACCGATCAGCAGGTAAACTGCATGACGGCTAAGTATGTGGCCACACCCTGCAGACCACCATAACCACCCTCTCAGAGGCTTGATGCAGCTAATCTGCGATGAGCTCTTGGATTTTCTCTAAACTACATAACTCCTGACCGAGCAGCCCTTCCCATCTCGTGTGTGTCTGTGTTAGAGTCTCAGTAATCATGCAGTGTTGTATCAGCTAAGATTTTGTATAGCGTGTGTGTATTTGTGCACCTGTTGTGTCAGAGCTCCTGCAAGTTGAAAAGGGCACAAACAGGAGCTTCTTGCGTGACTGTGAATGAAACTCTACGTCTGTGGACATATTCTTGTAATTCTCCGGTTGAGTGAACCAAGAGGGAGCAGGATCACCCGCTGCCTAGAGTGCTGCCTACGCTGTGTGTAAACAGAGCGTATGTGTACAGTGTGTGTATGTTTATGTGTGTCTCTGCCAGTTCCGAGCAGACTGCCAGTGGTTGTGCCGTTGCCCAGGGTTTTTTGTTTTATTTGACTTGGCATCTGTTTACCCTTCCGCACTCCACCTCTGCCCTGGCCTGCAGTCAGCTCCACCTCATGCCTGTGTTCTCCTACAACCCTGACTTCAACATACTCTGAGTGAGCCTGAGAGTAGGGTTTTCAAACTCTGGAAGTGATAACTACATATCCATCATAAATAACTGGTTTGATGGCAGTATATCAGAAGTTATCAAGCTCTGATTCCCCTTCATCCATCTGGTGGCTTTGGGCTATAAACTACTGCAGTAATGTACACAAGCCCAGATAGTGATACTAATACATTTATGCAACATTACTGTGTATGTTCAGTCATATGTGTGTGTGTGTATGGACTGATGGTAGATGTAATGTCTCTACAGAGCTGAATTCAGTTGCAATTGCCAATAACTTTAAAAGAGTCGGGAAAGTTGGAAAATGTTTAAACCTCGCACAGTGCAAATTTTGGAGATGGGGTGTAACAAGGAGAAGAGTGTGCAGCCATGCTTACAGCTCTCTGAGGCTGGTTTAAGCACAGAAGTACAGTTTTTATTGCTTTTGTTTGCATACCAGAGCATCTACAAGCATATGCAAATTTAGATGTTAAATATATTTGACAGTAGCACAATGAAGCATTTAGATACTGTATAATCTCACCCCTCCGACAACAAGCCCACCACCATTTCAGTTTTGACCAAAGTGTTGGACTGACCGAAGCTGCCATCCAGATAGCTGCGCTGCGTGCGGGCTGAAACTGCAGGTGTGACTGTATCAGCTCACCTTTACCTTTACACACCAACCAACAGCAACTTCACACTTTTATGTGGTGTATAAAGTAATTCAGGTGGATGTAATCATTAATGATACTCTGTTTAAAGCCACGTCACTGCACATCAAGTGCGAAGTGTGAGTGTACTGGTCAGAACAAAAGGTCAAACTGTGTCAGTAACAGGTCATAAAGCTCTTCCGCAACAATAAATCTTGATAAGCTGCTACTTTACCTGAAGCACCTGTATAATTCAGAGTGATGGAGGCTATAAAACCAGCTCCTGATTGTACTGTATCTGTTGACACTGTATCTTTGATGGCTCCATCAGGCTGCTGATCCTGCTGTCTGTCATCACTTTAGCTGTTGAACCTTTTAAAATCTAAATCTGATCATTCTGATCATACATTTTGTTCAAAATATCTTTAAAATGTACAAAGTGTGTTCCACGTTTTCAATTTCTCACTACAACTATTGAGAGAAGCTTCTTCCCTCAGGCTTTCAGCAAGGTGAACTCAGTCCTGTTTATGCTCAGTGTCGTCTAACACATTGTCCTGCGAAAGCTTCACACTGCACCTTACATTTGTATATTTGAGTCTGACACATTTTACACATTTATAGTGACAAGTTGCACAACCCACCAGACTGGCTCAGTGTACACTTCCTTTTCATCAATACTTTATACATTTATTAATTTTTTGGCTTTCAATTTTTATTATTTAATTATTTGTATTTATTTTATTATATTTCATTTTATATGTGTGTATATATACACATATACATGTTTATATATATATATAATTTTATGGTTGGTTTTTTATGGTAAGTTTGTTTTTTCTAATTATTATTCTTTGCACACTAATTTTTTGCTCAGCCATAAGACCATGCCACCCTACATTTCACTGCGCATATGCAAGAGTCAAAAAAGAATTCCCATTGTAACTGAAATCTTTTTTTTTTTTTTTTTATTACATTAGTCCTGTCCCTTAGTTTCTTAAATATGCACATTCCTCTCGCATCAAATTTAAAATGTTTTCCAATAACACCAAGAAGAAAAACAAGTCTTTTTCAAGAAATTTCAAAGTCTTGACAAGGAAATTGCGCACACATCCCACCCTGTGAATTTCAACATCACTGTCTGTGTGCATGTGAGTGTGTGTGCGTGTGAGTGTGTGTGCGTGCGTGTGTGTGTGTGTGTGTTTCATCATACCACCTAGACATTGCAGCTCCACATGTCCAAACTGATAGTTAACATGTCAC